ACTGCTTAACTTATCCATTCCTTTATGCATTCAGGAAGATACAAGAGATATATTAGTGATGACTAGTAAAACAGTACAGTAGAAATAAAACCGTTCTACAGTTTTATGTCATATAGCACTGATGTAAAAAATCTGGAGTTGTTTAATGGACACCAGTACAGCAAAGAAACAATTATGGTATAGTTCAATATGGAATGTTCACCATGTGAGTGTTCTGGTCAAATCCCACCTCCCACTGATATCACTCCAATGACATGAGCTCCCTGCAGGCAGTCCTGCATTAATCAGAACTGGCAGTAGGGGGGAAAGCTGATGTTTACACAGCTGTACACATGTCTGCGATGTCCGCATGAAAGTAATGTTGGCAAAGGATGGGAGGCTTATTTCAATCATTTACATGTAGAGTGTTCTGGATAAAATAATGCTTGAATAGGACTTTCCAAGAACTATGCTCAAATCCCCAGCCATGAAGCACCTTTGAGTAAATGATTGTCCCTCTGGATTATCCCTGCACTAAAATCATTTTTGGAGGGCATGCTCTGGTTGCCCTGCCACCTCACCATCAGTGAGGTGTGGTAAGTGGTTACTCAGAGATAGCCTCCCTGACTTTGGAAAGGACTTTGTTCCCAGTGAGCTATGCCTGATGCCATCTTTGTGAATGTTTTGGTGCCAAGCAATGACATTCTCCCAGATCTTTTAATAATCTGTCAAATCAGGTATAGGAGAGACCTTATTATTCATTGCCCTATTATTCATTGTCATTTAGCAATAGAACCCATAGGCTAGAGGTTAAGCCAGTTTGACTACCATAATTTATTTGGGTGAGGGAATAATCTGGCAGGAAGATGGGCCCAAGACTCTTCTTACCAGACAGATTACTTCCCTAATATCACACCTTCCTTTACCTATAATTATCCTAATGGAGTCCTTCCCAGGCATATAAACTAAACAGGAGCACCAATTATAATATAGCCCTCCTCATTCCATCTCAAAGTGGTTTTCCCCGAAGGTGACCCCATTTTTGTATTTTCCCCTTCAGCTCTGCTAACTGTTCTAGGTCTAAGCTAAATATTCCATCTAACCCTTTAAAGGCCCTAGGGCCAAGTAGAAAAAATGCCCAATGAGTGAAGTTCTTATTAGCCAGCCCTAGAAGTAATGCAGGCTGTTAATGATGGTAGAGTTGGAACAAGAGCAATTGGTGGTGGTGGTGATAAAAGTTGCTACACCAGAGAATTCTGTTGGTGCAGTTCCTATTTTTGCTGTACAAAACTGGGGATTTTAAACAAGCTGTTGTTCCCTTGCTTTCTTTAACCATGTAGCCACACAAATAAGTAGGGTGGTAGTTCATGCTGACCCTTAGCTGCCACCCAAAGTTCAGGGGAAAAAAAATAGCCTACTTTGGGAAACAAAAAAACATTTAAAAACATAGGAAACAACAACTTCTGTTGTTTGTTATAAGGATTTTTTTTTTAAAACTTTCCATTTCTTAAAAAAAGTTCCTTTGCCAGTTTCCTGTAGCTTAAGTAGCAGGTAGCAGTCATATGGACTACCAACCCACATACTAAGGAAGTTCAACAGGGTTTAATTTTTTGGGAGACATAAGCATAGTAAAAGGCAATTGGTGTATTGTTTTGGGATTCTTTTTGTTCTTGTATGCCTGCTTGTGTTTTGTAGCTACAAAAACATTTTAAAATGCTGCTATTAACTCTTGCATGAATAACATTAACATGACAATATAAAAATACATTGCCCCAGATTCTACAAATTAACAAAACCTGCATCCAAATGCACCCCAACGTTCAACATCAACAGTGCAAATGAACATTGAATAAATGAATAAATCAGGTAAGAACTTGTTTCAAATAATGAACTGTATATATAATATTTGAAAAAAGGAATATTTAAATGGTTTGACTATTTTTTAATCTTTAAGTAATTGTTATTACACACTTCAATTTCTAGTCCCCTCTGTCTTAAACACTGGGATGAATAGCAACAAAGCAAAATATGCATAATAAAATCTAAATATTTTGTTATGTATAATTCCTTGAAGTTTGTTTGATCCTGACAGTTGAATGCAAACCTAAAGAAAAAAAGTATTTAAGCTCCATGCTTTGACAGATCCTAAGGGCCAAAGGAATCCCACTTTATTGAGACATTAGCTGAGATACCTTCATTTATCCTGCTGTGGTCATTAGCCAAAACTGGAATGCACTTTTATTGCTGTTGCTAGCTTTGTAGCTTCAGAATTGCTTGAAAATTAGTTCCTGCTACAGCTATACTGGGCAATATCCAATGCTTTGCATGCAGGCTTCTATGCAGTGGGATTTCTCAGTCCTGATTTAGGCCATGCACAATAGAGTGAAGGAGAAATCTGTTCCTTGGGAAAATGCCATTCTATCAGCAGAATGCTGTAACTGGTAACAGTTCCTGATAATTATTAATAAATAATTCTTAACAAATGTACATTTGACAAATTCCCTCTTTTTTTTCTTTTTTTTGATACTACTGTAATTGTTAGGATTGATCATGTCTGGACTTGATGTTGGATATATTTAATGAATAAAATATAATTAAGTAGCTTGATTCAGAATACAATACTAAGTCAGTCACCCCTATGGATTTCACTTGTTGGCTAAAACTTTCCTATTTAGAGCAGATTTCAAGGTTCCTTGTAGATTTTATTTTGCATTTCCAGAAGCAAAAAGGGTTAGGGGGTCACAGTTTCAATTAAAATTGCAAATTTGAAGGAGTCAGTGAACTCATTCTGAGGGAACCTGTTCTGCTAGTCCATTCCATGAGAAGTCGCCTCATCAGGAACCTTTTCTTTGGTTGCAGAATGTTTCAAGTTTAATCCTTGCCATTTTCAGTGGGGTTAGTCTAGGCAATACAATACAATAAAGATACAGAGAACTTCCATCTAATGGTTATCTAGATTTTTATACCGAGATTTGCCGCTTGAAACCACCTCAGTCAACTGATGTTAAGGAATGTGGAGAGAAGGCCAATGATGTGACTCAGCATGAAAATCAAAATGCCCAATAGCTACTATTTCTTTTGTCAACTTCTGCCATTGCTTGGAAAATTGAAAGAGATCAGTTCAACTGTCAGTATTTCCAACCTGAAACTCAGTACATAGACTTCTGCTATGTGATAAATGTTATTTCTCAGCTGGTTCTAAACGGAAAGTGAACAGTATTGGTTCAGATAAAGCAGCAAAGAATACGTGCTATTTGCTAACAGTAAAAGAGATGTGGGTGGGCAGAAGTGTCCAGTAGCTGCATATTTCTAAGAAAACATTCATATATGATGGGGGTTTTCAAGGCCTTTAATTTTTCCAGGGTTATGAGAAGCCATGGGCATATAGTAAAGTTTGCCCAATCACTAAGCAATACTTTAAAAATAAAACCACAACAATGAAGTCACGGTTTAATTTGTAACTAATTTTTCTCCACACCTAGATGAGAAACTATATGCTTTTACTGTATTGTCTTTAGCTGAGTGTAATATGAACCTAAAAGCAAAGAACGAAATGGAAAATATTAATAAATAATGATGTTTTGAAACACAAGTTGCTGAACAGCTACTGAATCCTTTGCGTAGAAAGGAGGGATGTCTGTGTGTGGAATACAAAAACAACATGGCTAAAGATATACATGCAGTAAAAGAAGAATCTTATGTCTCTGCTGTCCCAGATCTAAAGTTCTTTAACAGAATCTTTCTCTTTCAGTGATTTAGGGTTGCTATCTAAACTAAGACTTGTCCTACTTGCTTTTTTGCAGGGGTATATTTAGGAACAAAGAACAAATACTCTAATTAATGGCATCCCACTTATCGGTTTAATAATACCACATACACATATTACACTTTTCTAGTGTTGGGGACCACACTTTCTAATCTAGACCTTTTGTTCGTTCAGTGGTGGTGCAGACCTGCTTGGAGGAATATCAAGACTTGAAGTACTAAAAAGGGTATTCAAGGAGAGGGAATCTTAATGGGGCCAGTGAAAACCAAGCAGCCTCGCTGGTTCCAGAGTGCAACTGACAATTGGATCGGAGAAAAAGAAAACAGGACGAGGAGCTGATAGACTGGAGAGTTTTAGAAGGTGGCATGGCTTGCTGGCGCCTGAAGAGGAGCAGTCTTGTTACAGATCTCCCTCTCATTTTAGGGAAGAGGAAAGGTAAGCTAGAAATCAATGTCTTTCTTTTAACTTACTTGCTCAAGGCATGAGAAAGATTAGAGCTGCACTGATAATAAAGTGAGTTTTTTTTGTACGTAGACACATACTACCAACCAGAAGTCCTCAGTTAAAGTCAGCTTACTTTATGTATTCTTTTTAAAACGCATATGCTCCCAAAATGTGCCCCCGTAACTCCGGGGTGCGTTCTCCTAAACCGGTTTGCTAATCTGCAGCTGCAGTTATTTTGGACGTTTTGCAACTTAAACTGGAGGAACTCCTGTTTAAATAACCTCAACCGTACTCCCAGCCACAGATTTTTAAACATTTATAAAGGCTGTTAGTATGTGCCTAGGGGGTGATCCACTAAGAGGGTCCAAACTACGGCCACGTAGGTCAGCCTCGAAGCGTAAGCCTTGCCGAGGCGGAGGACAAACAGGTCTCCCTTTCGAACGCTCCACCAGCCGCAATTACTTACTTCCCCGATCCAAAAGCTTGCAACTTTCCTCAAACGGATGCTCTTCTTGCCCAATTATGACTCGGTTCGGTATAAACAACCCGCCTCTTCAGAATCCTGAAAGCCAATAGAAAAACAGCTCTGAGGCAAGGCGAACGAGCCCATCGTTTATTTTCCTCGCTTTTCATCCCACCCCTGCTGCAAGGAGGGCTTGGGTTCCCCCGCCCGCTCCGTTCCTGCCTGGTGGAATGATTGACACAACCCTCCGGCCAATGGGCGCGCTCACTCGGGGTGGACTCCAGTTCCTTGCCAATGGCATGCTCCGAGCTGTGTGTTCGGTTGCGCCGCTGGGCGAAGTTGCTGTGAGGCGCGCACCTCTGGCTGCAGGAAGGTAGCGACTGTGGAATGCGAATTGGTGCTGGGTCCTTCGGACGATCAGTGGCGCTGCCACCGCCTTCTGCTCGAGGCTTGAGGAGGGAGCCTTGGGCTTGGGCTGAGGCTCCCGGATCTGCGGTGTTGCTCCCCGGATAACTGGAATGGATCTGCAGCTGCTGCAGCTGTAGTGGGCAGCGCTAGTATTGGATGGCGTGTGTGACAGCAGCAGATCCAGCCTCACTAGGATTAAATGTGCGTGGAGCCGGAGGAAGGTAAGAGCGAGAAAAGGCGGCGGCGAGACGTCTGAATGGCTGCTTGGTTATTTTACCTTGTTGGTCTCTGCCCGTAATGATTCTCAGATTTTGGGGGTATGTCTGGTGTCGCTCAGCTCTCCCCTCCCCTCCTCCTCCTCCTCCTCCTCCGTCCCCAGATCAAAAGGCTTTGGTGCTCTGAACCAGCCCAGAGCAGTGCTGAGCGTGAGGGGCAGAGAATGAGTAACAGATCACTGGAAGAAGAATGGAAAAGGTGTCTGTGCGTTGGTGAGCAAGCCAGACAGGCGGAAACAATGACGGCGAAGTCTCTTGCAAGAGCGAGGGAATGCTCTCGCAGCCAAGAGGAACCTTTGGAGGAAGAACTCTGCCCCCTCCAGTGCATCTCCTTCCCACTTTCACTGGTGCCATTGCCCCCTTCTCTCCACCTATTGCCTGCTCTTTCTTCAGGCCAAAAGTCACAAAAATAAAATAATAAAAACTGTTCTTCTCTTCCTGCCCCCTCCCCGCCCCCCGACTCCTGTGTTCTTGGCTGGAAAGAAAGTATTGTGGAATAAGAATTGTTCCCTACCAGATGAAAAGGGTATTACTCTCCTAGGCAGCTGAAACTCAGCAATTGCCCTTACGTCTACCCTCTTGCACCACACACCCAATATAAGCACTTACTGCAAGAGCATCGTCACCCTCTTTTTTCTCCATTAGGTACAGATTCCCCTAGGAAGAGGGGTTGGGGAGGAGACAACTGTTACACCTTTTTGTCATCAGCATGGAGACAAAGAACTTCTCACACCTCCCTCTGGGTGTTCTGCTGGCAGCGCCTTAACCCAGCACTGCTGCCCAGAGATGCTGGAGAGTGGTCCTGACCTGCTCCTTCAAACATCTATTTGTGTGTGAGAGAGAGAGAGAGAGAGAGAGAGAG